CTCCCTGACTCTTTCCAACGCCTCTGACCTCCTCAGATCAGATGTAAGCTCTCAGCTACTGCTCCAGCACCATGCCTTCCTGCTGCCATGCTCCCTGCCATGATGGTCTTGGACTCACTCTCTGAAACCATAAGCATCCCCCCAATTACATGCTTTTCTTTGTAAGTTCACCACAATAAAGACGTAAATTGATATACTTTCAGTTCTTTCAGAGAGGCAAACTAGTAAGTTCTGGACAGAAATTCTATCCTAGAACAAGAGAGATCATTAGGGTAGAGCTGGGTATATAAAGGATAGGACAACTACTCCAAGAGAAGTTGGAAAACAAAAATGTTTGATATTGCCCAAGAGAAGATATCTGCTAAAAGTTCTGAAGGTGAAACAAAGGGGTTCTACTACTATTAGTAACAATTTGAGGGGGGACAGTAATTGTTATCCACTCTAAGATGATTCCAGGCTATCCACCAGGGAATGCATTTCCCACCAAATTTAGTTCCTTGCTAAGTTATCAGTCTGGGGTCTTCCTGTTCCTTTAATTGTCAAGAAAAGCCTTGAGTGTCCATTCCTCTTTATGTCACACAGCCACTATGGTAATTTGAAAATCGTACCGTTTTAACAATCCAGACCCATAAATTCAGTACAAGTCAGCCTCCGGTGCAATTGTATACATATTACTTATATTCATAATGTAGTTTTACTTGTACATACAAAAATAGCAATAGCAGAGCTGGGGGCTTTAGCTCAGTTAAGAGTGCATGCCTAGAATAAGCAAGGCTCTGGGTCTGATCCCCAGCACTGCCAAAAAATAATAATTTCTCTCAAGTACATAGTTAACAAAGCCAATCATATCTTCATGCACATGTGTGATATCTATTGATTTATGCTTCTTTTTTCTTCCCTTTCATACTCTGTTTTTGTTTTGGTTTTTTTTTTTTTTTTTTTTTTTGGTTTTTCAAGACAGGGTTTCTCTGTGTAGCCCTGTAGCCCTGGCTGTCCTGGAACTCACTCTGTAAACCAGGCTGGCCTTGAACTCAGAAATCCGCCTGCCTCTGCCTCCCAAGTGCTGGGATTAAAGGTGTGCGCCATCACCGCACTCTGTTCTTAAAACTCTTGTTTTCAGGTTAAAATGTGTGTACCTCAGTGGGAGAGCACCTGGCTAGCATGCACAAGGCTCTGGACTCCATCCCCAATACTACAAGAAAACAAAAGCTATTTTCTTCCTGGTCCTGGAATAACCATTCACATGCACATCCTCAACACTCACATACTATGTCTACACTTGCCTCTCTAGGAAGAGGCAGATCTTCTCCGTGGTAAAAAATCTCAGGCTGGAAAGATGGCTCAGCAGTTAAGAGCACTGACTGCTCTTCCAGAGGTCCTGAGTTCAATTCCCAGCAACCACATGGTGGCTCACAGCCATCTGTAATGGGATCAGATGCCTCCTTCTGGTGTGTCTGAATACTGAATACAGCTACAGTGTACTCATATACATAAAATAAATAAATGTTTAAAAAAAGGTAATTTCTTTAAATTCCTCCTTTACCATTCATTCATGGTGCTGTATGTGTAAGCCCAGCCTTTCCCAAGAAAAGTCAGGAAGATCACAAATTCAAGGCTAGCTGGAGCTACATAGCAAAACCATACCCCAAAACAAAATAAACATCCCTTTGTTCAGGTGATAGCAACTAAGGGACTGTCTGATTCTTCCCTACTCTAAGTACAGAGGCTTCACTTAGCTATTGCAGAGTAAGTCCATCCCTTCCTTTTATATTACACGCCGCCACAACCACCCCAAAGACCTCATAACAAAAGACTTGAGATGGAGAAAAGTCAGATTCCTAGTCAGAGAAACGTCTTTATGACTCTTTCCTAAGAATGTTACTTAGCTAAGTATGTAAGTCGCAGCACTCACAGATGGAGCCAGGAGAAGTCATGAGTTCCAGGTTAATCTGTCTACACAGTGAAACCCTGCCTCAAAAACAAAACAGAGGAAGGAAATCCTTCAGCTTCAAAGTGGCCTCCTACTCACCTTCCCTTAACTCTACACTCCCTAAAAACTGGAACAGAAAATATGGGTAAAGAAAAACAAGAAGAAGCAAAGGATACTCACCATTACTGCTAGCTGCCTATAGGCCTTCTTTAGTTCAGTATCGGATGCTGTAGCTTCAACCCCCAGCACGTGAAAAGGGTTTAGTTCATCCTCAGGAACCCCAGCCATGGTCAACAATCGGGCCACTTCCTCTTCAGGCTGGTAGTATCGCCCGCTAGCTGCAGGTGCGCTGCCCGGCTTCTTAGTCCTCTGCTTGACCCAGGGCAGCTCCAGCCAGCCCCACTGAATTAACCTTACCAGCAGCTGCCATGGCCTGCTATCTTTCAGCAGAGTCAAGCAATGATGTAAGGCTGGAGAATCCAGCCAAGAGAACAGCCAAGCGGTCTTATCCCTCCAGCATAACCGGTTGCCCAGTCCCACCACAAACCTCCAGCCCAACTGTAGACATCCCAAAAAGAGGGCTAGAGCCAGGAGGAGGAAAGCACCCACTACCCTAAGAATACGGGTGAATAGCCTTGCCGCACAGAAGAAGCTCTGACCTAGAAACAGGAACGTCACACGGGCCCAGCCCCCCAGTCTCCTGGCCCAGACCCCCACCCAGACTCGAAAAAGGTCCAGGTCACTGCCTTTCAGCTTCCTGCATGAGTAAATGAGATGGCCACAAGTTTCCACATACTCTCCCACCAATACCATAAGTTCAATCAGCCACCAGAAGCCTGCCTGTCCAAGCTGGCAGAGTTCCTCTACTCCCCACAGTCCCAGACCTCTGCGCTTATCTGTCTGACTTCGTTTTCGGGCCAGCCGATGACGACCTGGGGCCTTGGGTTCTCTGCGTCCACTATCCCGAACATCCTCCTTGGTCAGACAACGGTGCCTCTGCCTCCGGGACGGGGGTTTCTTTCCGCTGGGCACACGTGAAAAATCACTGGGAAATTTAAGAGGTTCCTCATCATCATATTCTTCTTCTAACTCTTCATCTTCCCCCAAGGCTGGAGAGGTGCAATGGTGGCAAAGGCTGCTAGAAGAGCCATCTCCTTCCTCGGAATAAGTCCCTTCTGGGACTCCAGGGCTTCCCTGGCAGTTACAAGCAGATGGAATGGAAAGAAAAGGAGGACTCCCATCCTCCTGGTACCCAGTCTCATTCTCTCTTGAGAGTTCCTGGTCCACTCCTGACTCTTCTGAACATGTCTCGCTCTCATCAGGACACCTTCCTTCTCTAGGTGGTCCTGGACCCCTTGGAGGACCATGCCTTGGATCTGACCAGTGGGCTGGTTTTGGAGGCTGTGTGTACTTAGGGCCGGAGTGCTCTTTGAGGCATCGTGTACCATTAGGAGCAGTCTCTCTCGAGTCCCTGAGTCCTGAGAATGAAAGTATTTGGGGGCCCACAGAGGATCCTGATGTACTGAGGGAGGAACCACCACTGTGATGGGCTCCACACAACCCTCTTTCTCCCGGGTGCTTCTGGGCCATGACCCCGGGGCTTCCTGAGGATTTTAGGTCACTGCCATCATTGCCTGTAACAAAGATATCAACTTGGGAATGGTCAAGGATAAAACCAAGAATTAAACAATCTCAAAATAACATATTCAATGTACTCACTCCCCAGACAATGTTAGTTCAAATTTTGGGGAGACGGATATTCGCTAAACCTAACAATAAACCTGAATTAAACAGACCACAAACCTGCTTGCACCAACCCCGACCTCAGAAACCCCCTTACTCCCGAAATCTTTTTTTTTTCCTTCTTCTTCCTCTTTCCCCAAGAAGCTAAACAATCTTCAATCTGGGAAATGGGGAGGGGAAGAGGGGGTGCCGCAAAGGGTGTGGTCGGAGGGGGGAATTACTCTTAGAAAAAAAAAAAGACAGCCTGAAAGAGGGAGGCCGCAATCTGTCAGAAAAGGGTGGGGACCGTGCAGATCTAGAGGAAAAACTGAGGGCGGAGCTTCGAGGTGCCCCTGCAAAAAGATCACCTGAGAACCCACCGACTGGGTACCAGGGGCAAAGGCGACGTACCGAACAGCGGCGTTAACTCCTCCCCCCTCAAGCAGCTGCGCCTGAGGCCAGGGGGAGCCACAAGAGCAGCTCCCCCGGCTCCGCCTCCCGCTCACGCTCCGCTTCCGCCTTCCGTCCCCGCCACGGCCGCCTACTTCCACTTCCGGGGTCACCGGGGAAAAGACGGGAAGGAAAGAGAAAAGCGGTTGGCCGAGACGCTTGCTTGCGGAGCTGGCTCGGAGTCAATCGAGGAGGCGGTGCTAGAGCATCCGGCCCCACCCCTTAAAGTGCCCTAGGCCGCCACGCAGGTCCTGCTGTAATCGAGCTGAAGCCTGCGGACTGTATTCCTTGTCACTGCTGAAGCGGAGATGAAGGGCAGACGCCGAACCACACACACCGTCTTTGGCGTGCAGACACCCAGGGCACGCAGAGGAGCCAGCCACTCTGCGAGCCCAGACCCTTCGCTGTCGGCTGTCCAGCCAAAGAGGAAGCGGAGAAGTGTGTGTGTCCCGGACTAGCTAGCCCCCTGACTACACGTGACACTTCTCCCGGACCCAGCTGGCGAGCTCCCTCGCCGCTGATCCGCCCCCTGTGAACGCGGCGCAAGGGCCGGGCCAGGGAATGCAGCTAGGGTGATCTGGCTCCAAGGAGCTCAGAACCTAGTCCTGCTTAACAGAACCCCGCACTCATCTGCATGCTGCTTTGCATCTCATTTACACAGTAAGCTTTGGGTCGAAGCCAGCAGGCTCCCCCTCCCCTACGCAGACCCCGATGGAACCTCTCTGCACTCCTAAAGCCTTACAGTTCTGTCAGTGTCCCTGCCAGGCCTGTCTCGCTCCACAAGTATTTTTCATCCATGAACATACCTCCCCGCCCCCAACCCAGCACTAGTTAAAAACCCTTCTGCGCATCCCGGATCCCGACCACCCGGTTCTCCAGAAGACAATACTCCAATTCTCTGGGAAGTGGAAGAAACCAAGTTGGACCAGCGGGTGCTTTGGGACCCCACTGGGGCTTTGAAAACGTCAAGATGTTGATTAATCTCCTCAGCATCCAGAGACTTTCCGTCTTAGTGTTGGTGGACATCACAAAACTCCTCATTGCTATGGTTAGGGGACGTCCCTCGTCCTAGATTAGAGAAGTGGGTAGCCTGGGTTCCCCCATAGACAGAGGTAAAGATTGAGGGGGCCCGCCCCGTGATGTCATCTCCCCCCCTTACACACTCCCTGTCTCCTTCCCCCCACACACACCCCCACCCCCAAGCTAATTGCATTTAGTTCACAGGGTTTGGGCTCCGACTTTCCTGAGTTTAGGGAGCAACGAGCACAGTGGCCCAAGGGGGTGCCTGCGGCCAACGGTCACCCCTACGCCTAGGACCCCTGGGCTGGAATGAAGTTGGCGATCTAGGGAAGCAATTCCACCCCTTTGCTCTCCTCAGCCCTGCAGGGTGGTGAGTAGTTAACACCCTTCCTGACCTGTCCTTGTTTTGCGTCCCAGACTCAAGCGATTGAGATGAGCCCCGGGAGTTCTCCAATCCTTCAGCCTCAATATCCTAAAGACAGCAGAAAGAAAGTGCATCCGCACCACCCTACTCCTGCAATATCCCAATGCCATCCTCTCCTCAGTGATCCTTCAGGATCAAAATCAAATCCCATTGGCAGCCCATGCGTGCCTGGATGAGAGGGTGGGTGGAACAATTCCCATGCTAGTCTGGGACGAGTAGCAAGTGGATATACCAAGATGTGAGGTGATGCCTGTGGGCAAGGCGCCTACTTACTCCATGTACGGCGAAGGGATTTGGACTGGCTGTATTTGGCTTTCCCCAACAACTCCATCTCGGCATGAAGCCAAGGCTTCAAAATCCCAGAGGCTGATTCACTGACTCTTAAGTCCTTATTTGAAACTTTTAAATGTTCCTTTTCTTCCTCGGGGGTTGCATTTAGCTCACAGGGTTTGGGCTCCGATTTACAAGGAGTTTAGGGAGCAACGAGTTACAGCAGCCCCATCGGCCACCCCTGTGCCTAGGATCTCTGGGGCTGGATAAACCTGGAGGTCTAGGGAAGCAGTTCCACCCCTTTGCTCTCCTCAGCCCTGCAGGGCGGTAAGCAGTTGTTCTGAGACCCCAAGGTGACTCATCCTCTTCTCTTCCTTCTTCTCCCCACTTTATTAACCCTGCCCTGTCTGGTTCAACAAGAGTTAGTATTGGGTCCCAACTGCAGATGAGGGGGGTTACTTTTTAGTTGGCACAAGTCATTTTTCAAAAGAAATGGAAGTACAGAATCCCCAAGATTTATGTTTTCTGCTCTCTGTTCTCTTCCAGCTTTACCATCCCCTGCCAGATAGCTACAGATGGATGAAAGATTACTCTAACCTTCCACTCTATGCCCATCTTCTCTTCTACCATGGAGAAAGCTTTGTTGCCTCCGACTGTAACAGCTTACCCAAGGCCCTTTAATCAACAACTCCCAGAACCTCCAGAACCGAGATGTGTCTTGGAACCCCAGGACAGCCTTGAACTGGCTCCTGCCCTTGTGTGTGCCCTTTGCTGCTGCTTCGGAATCATCTACTGCTGCTTTGGTGAGGGCAGGGCCCAGGGTCGGGGCGGGGGTGGGGGGTGGGGGGACAGCTGCCTAACACTGTTATCCTCAAGAATGATGCCATATATCTTCCTTGCTCTTCTGGGCCACTTCACCTCCTCTGTCAGGAGATATGTACCTTCAGAGTTTTCCATACTGCTTCTCCCAGCTTCCTGTCATTCTGCTTGCCTGTACCCTCTGGCTCTCACCTCTGCCTCCATTATGGGCTTTTCCTGTTTCCTATGTCAGAATTCCATTCCTAGTTTATCTTTCCCACCAGAGATTTCAACTCTTTCCAGAATCTGAATGAGTCTGCTATGATTTCCCATGTACCATTGCTGGAGGACCTGGACACTGTCCTGCTTTCTTTCCACAGTGCATCCACTCTACCTCCTGATTTCTCTACCTATCCCCTTGGAATCTCTGAATGCCTTCCTCCTATCCCTGGGCTTATACTTTCTTTCCCCTTTCTTTGAGGTTCTCACTGTATGCTGCACCTGGCTTCTGCTCTCTGGTTAGCTGTTCCTTCTCCAATACACCAGAACCATCCCTGTAGGATCCCCTTTCTGCTTCTCAAAGCCTCATGCCTCCCTCCCCAGGCTACCGCTGCTTCAAGGCAGTGATGTTTCTCTCCGGTCTGCTGTCAGGGGCTCTGGTGATCTTCCTACTGTGCCATAAGGAGCGGGTGCTGGAGACACAGTTGAGCCTGGAGGTGAGCGTGGGCATCGCCCTTGGCATTGGACTCCTCTGCGGCCTGGTCACCATGCTGGTTCGCAGTGTTGGGCTCTTTCTGACTGGTCTTCTGCTAGGTCTGACCCTGGGTGCTGGAACCTTACTGGGCACTGAACCCATCTACCAGCCCCGCTCAGCCTGGGTGCCAGTCGGCGGACTGATGGGGCTGGCACTGCTGGGAGCCCTGCTCACACTTCGTTGGCCACGACCATTCACAGTTCTAGGCACAGCACTGCTAGGTGCTGCGGTGCTGGTGGCCTGTGCTGACTACTTCTTGGAAGGACTGGCACTGGGCACTCGGCTGGGTGAACGCCTGCAGGCACTTCCAGAGTTGCTTCCTCTTTGCTGGTATAGCTGGGTCTTGCTGGGGACCTGGCCAATCTTGGGGGCTCTTGGGACACTGGCCCAGTGGAAACTCATGGCTGAGGAACGTGGAAGCCACACCAATGGTGAGTTAACACTGTGATACAAAAAGCAGCCAACCTGCCCCCACTACTATCCTTGGATCCTATACTTGAGGGAAGGGAAAGATGGCGAGATGAGAACTGGGGAGGGTTCCCATGGCAAACAGGGCAGGGCACTGAAGGGAAGTTAAAGCTGAACTAGCCAAAGGAAGTCTGGGTAGAACGAGAAACATTGCCAGGAGAAGCAGGGCAGAGTTACATTAGGACCGTTATGAGAGGGTACAGGAATCCCAGAGAAGGATGAGAGAAAAATGTAGAAGAAAGTCCAATAACTGAAGGGAAGCTGAGCCTTGAGAGACCTACAATAGTAAGGTCAAGTGGACTTCTGTGGTGTATGGTTCTGTTTGGGGTAGGTATTCAGGGCCTAACGAAGCCCCCTTGAATCTGCATTGCCTCCTCCCCAACAGTGATCTTGAGCCACCAGCGAAGGCATCTCCAGCTCCTTCGGATCCATCAGCAAGAGGCTAAGAGGCATCGGAACCCTTCTGGGACAGGACTGTGTAGAGGCAGCTATCGGAATCAGCTTCCCCCCAATATCCGGAGTCCTGCTCACAGTCCAGCTCCAGTGAGTAGGAGGGTGTGACACCCTTGTTGAGGGGGGATGGTGGTGACCAGGTGATGGCCAGGATGAGCTGGGGGCTCTGACCCAGAACCTTTTTTCTACTCTCTCCACCTTGTATCCATCTAGAGTTATCTCCAGAGTCTTCGTGAGTGTGAGCTGGTACCAAGCACCCAGGCCACAGGCCCCCACACTACCCTGGACCTGGATTCTGACTGCAGCTCCACTGTCCTCCTTACCACACCTCACCCTGACCAGACCTGAGCCTAACCTCCAGTCACACTGATACCCCTGGTGAGGGCAGAAGATTGTTAAGTGGATAGGGCCTGAGTCCATAGGACCCGTACAGATTTCCCTACCTCTTGGACTTGGGAATAGGTTCTGTGCCCAGACCAACCCTTTTACAGACAGGCAGAGAAAATTCTTATAAAGATAGGGGAGGAGGGAGACTGAAAGTACAAGCACCTACCTCTGTCCAGTAGTAGAAGTGCCCTGGTCCCTAGAGACACTGACTCCGAACCAAGGAGGTGTGCCCAAAATAGCTTTTTATTAATTTCTGTAATGCTGAGGTGGAACCCAAAGTGTTGCCCATAGTAGGCAAGTGTTCTACCACTGAACTACAACCCATTCCCAAATACCTGTTTCCTTTCCTTTTAGGTTTTGGGTTTTGGTTTGGGTTTGGTTTCTTTTTTGTTTGTTTTTTGTTTTTTGGTTTTTTGTTTTGTTGGTTTGGTTAGGGTTTTGGTTTTTCAAGACAGGGCTTCTTTGTGTAGCCCTGGCTATCCTGTAACTCACTCTGTAGACCGGGCTGGCCTTGAACTCACAGGGATCTGCCTGCCTGGGCCTCCCCAGTGCTGGGACTAAAGGCATGCACCACCACACCCAGTGATGGTCTTTTGGCAGGAGGAATGGCACAGAAATGTTCCAAGATCTCCCAGTCCCCAGGCTCTTTATTAGGGGTAATTGGGCTTCTGGTTAGCCTTTCTTCCTGGACCCTATACTCTTGAATCCTGCTACCTCGGTGGGGAGCTCCATCTTCCATGGTGCTTTCCCCTCTCTCCTCAATGAAGGAAGACCACAGCATCTGCCTCAGCTCCCCTCTCTCCAAAAGCTGGCTCCTTGCCCTTCTTCTTAGAGGAGACTGGTCTTGGGGGCTGCATGGTAGCCAAGTGCCTTCTGTCTCTCAGAGTAGCTTTCTTCCTAAAGCAGAATTCGGGCCCAGCCACTGACCGTTCTAACTCTCCCTCTTCTGACTCTTCTGACCAAGATCTAGTTCCTGGTTTCCCAGACATATTAAAGAAAATATATCTTTCCCTTGAGCAGCAAATCTGTAATGAGAGGGAGGAAGAACAAGGGAATTCAGCAATAAAATGGCATTGAAAATTCAACTGAGGAGCTGGGCCTCTACTATTGCTGCTTTTTACTTTCTTTGCGCCACAAAACAGAGCTAATCTGCCCCCCAAAGATCTGCTACGGCACCTATATCACACATACCACTGTATACAATGCACACATACATATCATACATGTATACACCCAGACAACTCAGTTCTCTCCCAGGAACATGAAGCTAGTCTTTACTGAATACAAATGTTCCAGACTCTGTCAGCCACTTCACATACAGTATTTAACAATAACCTATCTAACATAACAATCCTGTAGCATTGATATTAACCTTATTTTGTTAGTAGAAAATCCAAGGTTTGACAAGGTTAATTTGCAAGCCAAAAGCCATAGTCAGGCTCAAGGACTCCAAATTCTAAGCTCAGTTTACTGGCCATGACATTTTCTTGCACTTTATGTTGGAAGAACACAACCCACATATCCAATAGCCAGCTGTTAGCTGTTGCCTCCTGTCAGCTAAAGACCCAACTGACAGCTGGACATGATAATACATGCCTTAAATCTAAAAAAAAATAATAATAAAAATTAAAAAAATAGAGCACTAGCTACGCATAGTAGCACATGTCTTTAATCCCAGCACTCAGGAGGCAGAGGCAGGTAGATCTCTGTGTGTTCAAAGCAGACTGGTTTACGTACCTACATAGAGAGTTTCAGGATAGCTGACAGCCATAGCCAGTGCTATGTAGAGAGACCCTGTCAAAAAAAACAAAAACAAAACAAAAACAAAAAAAACAAACAAAAAAAACCCCTCTTGATTGACAGTTTCCCTCCACCAGAGAATAGATGTCACACTTGAAACAGCTATATGACAAGAAGAAACAGGAACTGGGGACTGGCTCAGAATTAAGTGAGCACCTTCTAGAAACACAGGGAAGTGGAAGTGGTGTCCAGAATTGGAATATCTAAGGGCATTAGGTCTAGTGCCCATTTGGCAACATCTGCACAACCCTGATGAGCAGACATTGAATAGGTCTCAGGCCCCTAGCAGGGTGACATTAGCAGAGAATGAGAGGGAGGCAGAGTCTGTAGCCGAGGGAATGTCCATGGTTGAGTCCATGGTTGAAGGAGTGGTACCCAAGACTGTGTCTGTGGTCAAAGGAGTAACATCCCCAGTTAATGAGTTAGTGTCTGGAGCCTGAAGACCACAGTGCATCCAGTGTGTCACATTCCTGGGATAGCCCTTCGCCACTCGAAGTTGCTGGTTAAGGCGCCAATACTCTTTGCCCTTGAAGAAGTAGACTTGGCCATCTTGCCAGCTCATAGCTGCCGAAGGTTGGTCTGGCACGCCAGTAAACAGTCCCTTGATTGGTTTGGGGTAACGGCTGAGGTCAGTTCTGGCCAGTTCGTCCCATTGCCAGTATCCTGATCCCTAATTTGGGGTGGATGGGGAGAAGATTATGAAGAAAGAGCTTAGGGACTCCAGAAGCTGACCCAAACTATAGAAGTTTGGCTCCTTTAAGGATAAGACTGTGCCCCTCCTCAGAAGGGATTACCCTCAGTTCTGTTATACCTTAAAAAGGAAGACCTTTTGGTTAACAGGCCAATAGAAAGCTGCATCCAGGTTGGGTTCTACTCTGTTGAATTTCATGGGAAATCCAGGAGACATCTTGAAATCAACATACCGCCACACCTTGTTTCCTGAGAGTGGTCAAAGGAAGAGCAAGCCACCTCTGTCATCAGATGGGCCTTTGGGTCCCCTTCTCAGAAACTCACTGCCTCCTCCCATACAAAGCTTTTTAATGACCAGGCCCTTAGATACGATTTAAGAACCCCACTCACCCTTAAAGAAATGAGTCCGTCGTGTCCGGGGAGAGTAGACAGCAGCATCTAGGTTTCCAGGAAGCCCCTCCCAAAGGGCAGATATTTGGAACAAGGGGCCTGGCCCTGAATCTGTTACAGTCCACACATAGTCACCCTTGAAAGCATAGGTCTTCCCACGAGGCCCTGAGAGCAGAAACATGTCACCAGGTTTAAAAAATAATGACTCGTGAGTATCTCTGGTGATTTCCTTACTGGTCACTGATGGGCTATTCATAAAAACTCACTCAGCTTCTAGAGAAAAGGGCAGAGAAAGAAGACTCAGAGATGAGCCTCTCCTTTGTTGTTCACAGCCCTCCAGTCGGTCAACTATCCCCTTTGGAGACCTGGTGCTCCACTCCAGGTAGCTTTTAAAATTCTTCCAACCAGGGGCAAAGCCTTCTCCAATAGGCATTGCAACAAATTTCATTTGGTTATGTTTCCCTGTGTGTTTTGTTTTGTTTGTTTTTCAAGACAGGGTTTCTCGTGTAATCTAGCTCACTCTGTAGGCCAGTGCCAGCCTTGAACTCACAGAGATCAACCTGACTCTGCTTCTGGAGTGCTAGGATCAAAGGCACGTTCTACACTGCCCTGGCAGATGTATTCTTATAAGGTGGCAATCATGGTAAATGCTTACCCAGCTACTGTTTGTTTGTTATTGTTTGTTTATATCTCCAAGACAGGATTTGTCTATGTAGTCCTGACTGTCCTGAAACTTGCTCTGAAGACCTAACCTCGAACTCTGAGATTTACCTGTTTCTGCCTCCCCAGTGCTGGAATTAAACGTGTGTGCCACCACTGCCCCACTGCCCAACTACCTAGCCCTTTTTTAAATTGGCTTTGGGTGTTCCCTCCCTATGCTACACATTTTCCCTGGTTACCAGTCACTTCCTGGAGCCCAACCCCCAATGTTCCTGTTACGATCCTGTGTCATCCCCATTTGTCTAGGCCTTGGAGTCAATAGGCTGCTCCATTGCCTGTCAACAACCAGTTGGGGAAAGGGTCTCACCCAGCATCATGGCATCCACTTCACTGTTGCAGGGGTTTGGCATGGGACCAGGTTTTGTGGTCACTGGTGCCACAGTGGGCATCTCGGTCTCTTCTTCCTCATCATCTGTCTCCGGCCTCCTCTTGCCTGTGAGGTAAAGTAAAACAATGTAGTGAAAGAAGTCCAAACACTCAAACCTCTCTGCCTGTCTGCTGTACATTTTCATCAATGGCCCCACAAAGGGAGGAAGTGGAATTTTAAGAAGTTCCCCTTGGTGGCGGGGATATGCAGGAGACACAGCTTATTTCTAAGCCCCAGCAAGGAGGAAATTTCCTGGAATGTATGCTCTGCATCTTCAAGTATGGGGTCGCTAGGCCATGTACACCTTTCATCCCAGCATCAGGGTGGATGCAGAGGCAGATAGATCTCCATGAGTCTAAGGCCAGCCCGAGCTTCACGGCAAGTTCCAGGACAGCCAGAGCTACATAATAGAGACCTTGTCTACAAACAACAAACAACAACAACAAAAAGAGTTAGGGTGTGAGGGGAGAAAGTCCAGGACGGATGATCAGACATAAAAGAGTCAAAAACAGAGACAGTTTCCGAAGATGAATAGCTTGAAGAAGTGGGCAGAGGAAGAGAAAGAAGCCAAGCCTTTTCACTCCATGAAAGCCGGTATTGTCTCCTCGAGCCTAGAGAGTTACTATTCAGACTGACTCTTATGCTCACCATAGAGAGCCTGGATCCCTGCCACGTCATCTGGATGCAGCTTGAAATAGGGCTTGTAGCCAGCATAGACAGGAGCCATGAGTGCCTGGGTATATCGGGAGTGCCCAAGCCCCAGGGCATGGCCCACTTCATGGGCCGCAATGATGCGCAGGTTCACTCCCTGGTAGGTCCCCTCAGTCCAGAATTCATCTTTATCGAAATGTACGCTGCCAAGCTCCGGGATGTCAGCATGGGCCAGGACCTTTCCTGGACAGAAGAAAAGGTAGACAGTAATGTCAGAGCCCACACAGACAGAGCATACCCTGCGGGCTCTACACTCAAGCTGCTGTCAAGAGTGATAACACATCTGTCATCACAACACTTGGAAGGTGGACACAGGAGGATCAGAACCTCAGGATCAGCCTTGGGAGCATATAGAGTCTCATGTCAGCCTGGGATGCATGAGATGCAGGGTGCACCACCATAGCTAGCTTAGGTGCTTCTTCCGGATTTCCCAGGCATCATTCAGGGAAACCCAAAATAGAATCTGCACCTCCCCAGCCACTCTTCCCCCTGTGACCCAATCCCCTCTCAGGTGACGTCTGAGAGAGGAAATGAAAGCCAGGCATAAGATTGCAAGAGGAGACTTAGTAAGGGGCTAGCTATATGGGGGACTATTAGAAGGTCAGAGTACAGGATACAGACTGTTAAAACCGACAACCTGAACTTTAAGGTCCCGGAGTAACTGGCTCAAGGAGAGAGTTTATTGGTGAGGGTCTATAAGTTGAGAGCTAAGAATCAGTACCTACCAGGCCCATCAAAGGTATTGGAGCAGTATGGGCTTAGGCGGCCATGGAAGGAGAGGCGGATGTCAGCCCAACCAGCTTTTACCTCCCGGAAGGTCAGGGGAGCCACACTGCTCCAATACTTAAAGGCTCGGTGCAGGGCTGCTCGAACTGCCGGGAGTGAGAGGGTGGAGGGCACGTTCAAGATGCGGAAGGTCAAGTGCTTCTTTCTCCAGTGTCCTGGTTAAGGGACCAGAAAGTGAAGTTAGAAGCACAACCAGGAGAGCCACCCAGGGTGAGGGTACTCAGTGCCCTCCTTAAGGGAAGGAGGGCAAACCCAATGCCACTAACACTCAGGCTGCCCTCTCCTTCCCTTCCCAGGCTCAGTCCTCACCCAGAAGAAGATATTTAAGAGACTTCTGGTTGAACGGATCCTCTAGACCACAACGGGGCTGCTTCATACGGGCCCTTGTGGCATCATCCATCTGACCAGAAATGGGCAGTTGAGACGCTTCCTGGAAAGTTCTAGAAAGAGAGAGAGAGCTAGAAGTCTACAAGGGCAGGTGGATCTGGAATGGCTGGAAATTGAGGATTGATCTTTAGCCTCCTAACGTCCAAAGTCATGACAAAAAAATGGTACAAAGTCTCTGAAACTGACGCAGGCATTGCAGTCTCTAGTGATCATAACTGGGGCTTTGTCTGTAGAAATGG